CATTAAGTCAAAGGGATAATCAACGAAAACCCAGTTGTGAACTGGATCATACTGCGAGTTTGCAGTAATACATGTGCATGTCAGTCTGTGCATTTAATGTTAATTCCAGAAGTAAACTGTTTCTGGTTTCGGTTACCAATAAATCTATTTTAACCTTATGTGTATACTTGCAATACATTTGATAGCGTACAAATTTATTTTTGGTTTACATATGTATACACGTACATATATTGTACAAAACACTCCTTTGTGTGCTATTGGGAAGCTGCTTTCGTTGGAAAAAAAGCAACCTGCTTGACGAACCTTTGAATGGTTTTAACTGTTTATAAAATAATCTTCCACATCTTTCACTATCACCAGTTTCAGAGAACGTCCGCTTGAGTTCTATTAGATGACTTTGCAGGAAATGGACAAGTGAATACAATTATTGCACAGGTAAATTGTTCTTACTTATTACAATTGTAAATTATACTCCTTAGTATAAACCTGAGTTTCAAGAAAAAACAAACGTAAGTCATAATTCAGTTGATCGTTTTTAAAGTTTCTCAAATACCAATACCTTTGACATGAGGAAGATTTGAAGACCACTCAAGTGTTGCCATCTCCAAGACTAAGAACTAACACCAACAACCTTGCGGCATTTGCGATAGATATTTTCGAATCATTAATATGGCTGTACGTCGGCTTCACACGATGCATTGTCTTCTGCGATTAAAATAATTTTTCGAGTATTTAACCAAATCAACCCAGTTCTTTATTATCTACTCATTCCCAATTAATTCTTCCCTTAGGTTGATCGGTAGAACAATCTAGAGTTTTAGAATTCAATAATTTCTTAACCGACAGCAAAATAGAACCCAGAATAATAAGTAACCAAGCTTGGCAAATACGACAAATTAATGAAATCAACTCTGCCACCAAAACTCAGAGTATAAGGTTGGATTTCACTTATGGACGTCAGTGTGGATGGTTCTCGAACACAACTTACGCCTGCGCCTGAGTTTATCAACTCATTAAAATAAATTAATCTTAGAGCTCTTATCGCAAAACATTAGTTTGAGTGAATAAAGATTAATAACATTCGGAGAGAATGCAGGGTAAATTGTCCCCACAGTTTGTTTAGGTTGAAGATGTTCTGAACAATCAACACAAGAAGGAAATATGCTCAAAACCAAATAAACGATCTGCGTCCGAGTTTTCACAACCCGCATTCTCTCTGTGCTGTGACAACTCTACCTATTGCAGTAAAATATGATGATTCTCCCTTACCAAGCGTTTCTTTTCTAAAAATACAAAAAATGTAACCCGTTACAAATGAAGGCGTTTCATTGTTAGTTATATATCGATAATGAGGGCCTCACATGCCTTACCGTCTCATAATTTTACACGACGTGTCCAAAGTTTTGGGTTTCCAGCTGATTCACATTTATTGTCCTTACCCAGTATAAATTCCATTCTACAAGCCGTTGCACAAGATTCGGGAAATCGCCATCAGCGCACTATATGCATTAAATAACCACATTAAATTGAGAGCTAGGGATAGAGCTGGGTTCCCGTCAAAACCGGATTCGTATGCAAATGAGTGTATAAGCCAACTTGAATTATGTTCACATTCTCCCGACCTAAGCCGCTTGCTTATGACCCCGCAATGTAAGGTAGCAATGCCTAAGAAGACTGGCATCTTTGATACCTTGGACAGACGTTAGACAGAGCATACAAGAATAAAACAGTAGCACAATAGTGTGGGAACAGCATAAAGCGATTATTTATTGTTTTATTTACTTTTCGCTAAACAGACAGAAGTAATAAGGATATCAAAATGATATTGTAGAGAAATCAAATGCCTAGGTGAAACCGACAGGCTCCTGGCAATCAGCTCCTCAGATGATCAACATAGACATCAAAATATGTCTAAGAAGCGAAAGTTCATTACCTGAGTGAAAAAATGCATCGTAACGTGGGCGAAATTAATTTGATGGCAGCTAAATTTCATATTTGTTGCCCTTCGTAAGCCTAAAAATACACGTAATTTGAATTATGGATTGATGAGATGGTCAACAGTCAACAGTCACATTTTACTACTTCCATAGTATAAAACAGGATAGCTTCATGAGTGAACTGCTAAATCAATTGTTTTTATTAATCCTTATATGTGGTTCTTCGCTTCCGCCTTGGATACAACGTGACACAGAATAAGACTGGTAAATGACTTGATATACTTCCAATTTTCAGTTTGGAATTCAGTAAGTTTGATTGCTGGTCCACTTTTCCAGGACATGTGTGCACGGGTTTTCGTTTCCGGTCTCCTCATTTCCATTATGTCGGGTGCCAATAAAATCATTCCCGCCAAATTATTGCTTATCCTTTTGAATGTTTCGTAGCTGCCCCAATTTATGATCACTCAAGTTCTACTGTAAACTACTCCATTGGCTGCAAAATATTCACAACTACAATACCAGTTCTACTCCAGTTTTCCATTCGGGAAGTAGTCAAAATCTTTGACGCCTAGCAGCAAACAGTCGCTCAAAAACAAAATCTTGACCACGCATTTATTATTGTGCGAAAAACCATAGGGTAGGAATCACGTACTCCAAAGCCTTGGCGTAGAAAACGCAAGGTACAGGCCTCGTTGTTTTTCTCATTCAATACTGATAGGTAATGTGAGTATTCTAATTCGACCTTCGTAGAACAAACCCAAGGTAAAAACCAGCTCAACAGTCACACATCAGGTGTTACGAAGTGGCTAGTGTAGTGAGTTTGAATTAAAAAAAGTAATTTATTAATAAACTGTAGGCAACTTCTGACTTGTCATACTACTCTAACACTGATTTTATAAAAACTTGCGCAAACGGACAGTATATTTCATGGGGAGCATCACTAATTTTGACTCCGGTTTTTTGTTGGTTAGTAACACAACTGGGAATGGGGGTGATCACAGTGCCAGGCACACAAAAATAATTTTTTGCACATTTTTAGTAATAACTTGAGCTTGGAAATTATTCTACAACAAAGTATTTTAGAATTAACTTTGATCAACAGCTTGTTTCGACGGTCTGGAAAATTGGCTTTTGTTCCGTGGAAAATATTGTGCACCACATAAGAAAGGAAAAATAAATGGGCAAACAGACGAAATGGCAAATATATCTGAACATTACGTTGTAAAGAAGACTTTAGGTGGATGTTCTCGATTTTCAAAATAGGAATGTCAAGCAGCCATTCAAAGATCATGGTGAAGGTAAGCATTCTATTAGCTCTAGAATGTATTGGGCGTGAGTATATAGTGATCAGCACGTGATTAATAGTGGAAAGTAAGTTGAAGCCAATCACTAAGACATTTATTTGATGTAGCTTATCCCTTAGTTATGGCGTGGTAATCCTGGTCGATTTCCGATCAAGTGCTGCGGCAAATTTTTAGTTGACCACATTTCAGCTTAGTTTACTTGACGTAACAATAACATGGAAGCTAATATTCATATGATAACTACTTCCTTGTGCTCTGCTTGAAAATAATATTTCTGATTACGGCTGGCTTAACTTCAACCACTGCGCATATGCTATTCGATGGCTGACTGATTACTTGTTTCATCCTGTTACAACCCGTCAGCTGGTAGTGCTAAGGTTAGTTAAGTGTTTACTTGGCAAAAACTTGTAGAGCTTAGTGCAGTGCCACACGGCCACTGAACTCTTGCGTGCTTGACAAACAGCAATTAAGTAATTGGTTAGTTCGACCCCTGAAGTGAAGTTAGTAGGGCTACTACGCTGAATCGTGTGCACACTAAGTGTTACGGAGTCACTTCTGGCTAGGTAAAAAGTACAGCGATGACTTATAGTCATGTAATGCAAATCTAACTCAAGATATTCACCGTTAGTGCGTTTCTTATATATAAAGTAGCACCTGACGTAGGTTGTGTTGTTATTTCTCTGTGCCATATTTCCTCGGCAAAGTTCGAACCCACCTACGAGAAGAATTCCAAGTCTAGTAAGTATTCGCTACACAAGCTTTACAGACCACTGTGGTGTTTATCGGACTACACGATGAATCGCTGAACGGGACGGTGCTGTTCAAAACATACATTGCCCCGAAAAGCCTTAGATTCATAAGTAAACCTTATTGGATAATCCTGACTGCGTTTCCTGTAGAGAACAAAGATTGTGTTAAATTAAGCAGGAAAGTGTAATTGTCATCCAAGATTTGTCAACTAATTTTGATTTAGCACATCCTACGTATTTTCAAAATGAATCCCTCAAAAGGTTCTTTAAAAGATGCCTCCGAATGTTTACCTATCCAGGTTTAGTGGTTGCTTTTAGAGGGACTTTATTTGGTCCTCAGAGATCACAAATATAGTGTTTAGAAAATTTGTTGATAGGTTACAGTGTGAGAGCAACTGATTGTGGACTATCCATGATCCTTCAACCTACCTAGTTGACGCATCAAGTCACATTATTTAAAATAATCTCAACACATGGGGTGAACTTTTCGGTATTTGCCTTGATATCCTAATTTGCAGTTAACTGACGAAAATCTTAGACCTCAATGTGTGTCAGGTTGAACCTGAAATTCTCAAGTCTTCTTTCTGTGAAAAATCTCATTACTGGCCACTCAACAGCAGCTCATCCCATACGAAGTTGATTTTAATTAACAATGAGGCAAGTCAACAAAAAGAGAACGCAAACAAGCGAGATAAAGACCATGGAAGACAGACATTTACGCAAGATCTAGAGCAACGATCTGGAAGGATTAACGAATGGAACGGTTTGAATTCATCCGAACTGTGAAGATATCAACACGAATGGGGTTCTCCGAAAAGCTTTGAACAGCTCTATGAACACAGTTAAACGCGTTTTTTGTAGGTTTAGTGTGCCAGGTGCCAACGTATGGTGGATATTCATCACACCTAAACAGCATTTACATACTACAGGTTTTCGGCGCAATTGCCGGGATGTTCAGGTGTTAGCAATCTGAATTAGGTACCTATGAGACAAAACCAACTGTTACTCACTCCGATCCAGGTTGACGTCTAACGACTCAGACGTTTGAAATTGCAAGCACAGGCTAGTTTTACCAACTCGACCCATTCCCAAAACTTGCACGGTAAGTATTTCATTTGATGGAAACGAGTCAGAGGGAGAGGAGTAGGAGGCAGGTGAACCAGGGCTTGGTTGGGAAACAAAGGCCCATGATCTGGATCGATTCCGAAATTCTGGTCGCAGGGCATTCGGAGATGGTAGCCCAGAACTGGGTGGGCGTAAAGGTATGGGTCCTGTTTGGTCGAATTCAGCTGGATTCACCAGTGTAGTGGTTATAGCGGGTACTTCCACCACCTCACTATCACTGAGAGATAAATCAGAACGATCGCTCACTTCGTCCGTGCAGATTGTGGGATAGTGAGTGGTTCCCGGGCGTACACTCCGACCTACATTTTGGTACATTTCAGGAGCTCGGTAAACATCGGTCTGAGGCAAGTTTTGGTCTCCTTTACGAATCAGCTGACCACTTTTCTTCCTTTGAAACCGGCGTACCCTAATCACATTATCCTCCGCGGAATTACTGGAGAGTCGGCTTGGAGAATGAGGATCAATAGCATACGTGGGTGACAGTGTTGACGTGTACAACGTTGGGGCAGAGGGGCGGTAGCCAACCTTGTTCGGATGTTTTTGCCCAGTTTCTTTCATTGAACCCGCACGGTTTCTTTGATGTCTTCCTTCCCCCTGGTGAAAAGCTTGAGGATGCTGATATGTCTCAGGGTTGTACTCATCATACATATCGGCAACCTCCGTTCCATTCTGCTTATCAATGAACTCGCGTGGAATACGCTGATGAGAAATGGATGATCGATGGAAGTCACCAATATTTCGCCGTTCTAAGGGATATGGCATCTGTCGGCCGGATGACACTGGAGAACGTGCACCACTGATATCTTCACGTGAACGCTCTCCCGGCATGTTCAGGTATCCACGAGATTCCCGGAAACTAGACGAACGCTTCACTTGACCGTCTTCCGGGTTGCACAAATATTCACCTCGCTGAGCACGTCCATCGGTGTAGTGTTCAGTGGGTGATAGACTGGTCCGTGGTGAACGCTGAGCAATCTGACAAAATCTCTCAAAATCGTCGTCAATATTCATCGTTCAGAATGTACCGTTAGTTGGACCTGTCTGCCCATACAACATTGCAAAACGAAAAGTGCCCGGTCCTCATCTGTTAGCATGACTATATATCTCCAGATACATAGTCCAATGGAAGGCGCATACCCTAGATTCTAACCTACAACGCTCAGTGCATGATCGTGATTGGTTTGATGGTTACTTGGTCACATGTCTATCCCTCTCTCCTACCCAAAGGTTTCTGAGGTCACAAGGAAGCGCTGACTTACCAAGTCCAATCAATAGGCGTTACACTGGTATATACAGAATGTCGGTTACCAAAAAAATCGGGTAGGAAGCGTGGCACGGCTGTCACTGTCTTAAGGCCGCAGGTGTGCAGGCTTCCGTTTAAACCCGGAAGGCAAAAACGGTTTATCAGAGATCGATGTTGAATGAGGTCATTAGGCAGACAAGACCCCTGAAAAGAACTAGTAGCAATAAACAGGACATATTATCTGTTGAGGACATGGCTGCGGTCACAAAAACTTCCTTGAAATTCTCCCAACTCTGGATTACGACGAACCTTTTCAAAGATCCAAAGCCTTGGAATTCTGGAATCCCAAAGAGCACTTTGATGAATAATTCGAAGGCTTAAGGTCGAATAATGAAACAGTGCACGTAGTTGTTTTTTATAGCGAGCTGAATAGATAAGAAGTTTTCAAATGGATAAGCACCAAAGTTTTGAAGAAAAAGAAGTAAGAAGTCATTTTAGACGATTTTATCTACGTAGACATATGTTTAAATAGATTAATCATCCACACAGACAAAATCCAAGTGGCGTTGGAATTTCGCTGCCTTACACGTCCATGTGACCAGGAGGTGCTAATGCATGGTATACTGTGTTTAGTGGTGATCTGATAGCTTACGTCTAGTTATCTAATATCTAGGGAACCATGAAACTCACTAATTCATGCTTTATATGAGTGGTCTTTTCGGAACCTGCTCATCAGAATGATTCACAGGCAAACGTAGTTCTGTGTATGTCCCAAGATCTCTTATAACTCACAGCTCGTTTTATCAGTGTTACATTGGCGCTGATCAATGGTTATTTTCTGGTGAGTTGTTGCGATCAGGCTGCGCGCATATTGCATCCACATTCTCACGCTTAGTTTGATGATAAAATCAACCGTCAACTGTCCTCCAAGTGAGTGTTGTGATGTATTATCGGTTTTGACTCCCAACACTGGTATCATACGCGCCATCAACTGTCATTTTGTTACCACTTCCCGGCACTTCGCTCATTGAGGACACGTGCCACAGCCAGCGGAAAAATCGAGGCGCAATAGCCTTGATCCCTGAAGAACGTTTAATGTAGAACCCACAAAGAACTTGAGCTATTCTTGTCGTAAATCTAAATGAAGTAAACGGTGTTGTAAAGTCCGATGTCAACGGAGGCTGCGAATTGATGACGGAAATTATTCGAAACCAAGCTGAAAGCCAGTTAGTCAAACACTGAGTGAGCTGACAAGAATCGGTGGGGCGAAACGGGAGTCTACTGCTTCCTCCTTACGATGTGAACTTGCCAGAATGATCACACTGGAGTAGGAGAAGAATTTTTCAAATGAGAGGAATGTTAAATTGAACTACACAAAGCCTGCAACCACCTACAACTTAAGTGCAGAAATAATAAACACAGCAAGTCCGACGTCGGCTAGATTTCGAAAGTTAGACACTTACTCGAAGCAACGTTACCTAACTTTAATTTTCAGCCTGATACACACCGACGGTCCACTAGAATATCATTATACATCATTCTGGTGGTTTCTACGGAGAACATATAACACGACCGAACCGGGAGTGATCCAGCGAACCTACCTGAAGTGAATACTGAGTTAGGTTACCGATTCGCAATTTATGTGGATTTTTCTGGGTCAGCCAAGTGCTATGTTTGTTGCATCAGAGGGGCTACATAGCTCAAATGAACATCTGACCGAGTAACGCTAGTGTTCAAAAGTGTTTTTTCAAGCCGCTGGAATGACATTGGGCTTGTTAAGTTTTCAATCAGTTTGCCTTGTTTCTATCGGCTGAAGATAGTGGACTTCCTTCGGTGGCAAAACACAGCCTCGTACGACTAAAAGTCCTCACTTGGTATGACTCATTCACCTTTTCTAGTCATAGTTTATTTCAGCAACTTGCCGCGGCCTGTCTAAGTTGATTTTAAGCGTGTGTTTCTAGAATCTTGGAATGTTTTGACGGACGGCTAATTCTCCTCCTAAATAAACTCAGAATCTGTGAGTCACTCTCACAAAAACACTCTCATCTTTATTACTTTTTCATCCCAATTGTATTCACAGTTTCTGTCCAGAGATACGCTGCTATTCGGTCCCTGTGGCTTTTGGGCGAGCCTTTTTTGTTAGAGCTTAGCATACCCCAATGTGGTTCTCTGATTCTACTTAGATTTAGGTTGTTTGGGTTCCCCCCTGATGTGCGTGACGAGTGTAAAGCGTACTTCGGCGCGCACCAAGGAGTGGTCTGTATTGCGTTCAACTCTACGCAACAGTTTTGTGATCAGCACAAAAATGACACAGTGACTTGACATGACATGTTCATATCTTGAACAAGTTTACGTGATTAGCGATATTCGTCATGTATTCAGTCACATGTCTGTTGTTGACAGTTCGAGTGCTAAACACATCATTTATGGGCTTTTTCTATTGTCTTTTACTAACCCGATTCTAAGAGAACACAGAATCCTCTTCCAATTTTTTCCATGCCTTTGTAATTAATGGCCCAAATGTTCATGGATAGTTAGGGCATCTAGGCTGCTTTGTTGTACCAGGAAAAGAAAAATCTTTGTTACTGAATTATTCCCATTTGTGCTAGTTATTTACCCCAGCCAAAGCCCGGTGAAAATCTTGGGGAAAACACCAAAGGTTAGAAAAAAGTCGGGCGCTCGACCAGACAAAACTCACGTGCACACTGACACAAATGCCAAGTCAATCCGTTACCAAAGAACCTACAGCGAAATTCATTTCTCATTTTGTTTAGGTAAGTCTTGGGTAGTCTCCACGTTTCCTCCGACGGAATTTATTGCGCACAATTTTAATTGTTTATACTACGATTCGTTCAACGTTTTTATGTTGTTTGATAATTTGTCGTCATACACAAACACTACCATTTATCTTACTACGCATCACTCAAGGGTGATCAATAACTGGGCCTGTGGGATTTCGTCAGTAAAATATAATAGCTATTCTGATTTGCCCCCATATTTTCCCCCTCTGAACATCTCCAAATAATCAAACCAAATCCTTCCCTTACGTTGATTAATTAAGAAGATCTCCCGATCAACCCATCATTTACTTCTAACGAATAAAACCCGTCAATTTCAGCATCTATGTCACAAAATATCTCAAACAGAAACCAAAAAGAATACAGAAAAGGAAGCACATTCTCACGAAAATTATCAACTCTGGGTACCATCACTTTACGCAGAATATGATATCCTGTATTAATTACCTCTCACCCTGAGTGTGTCAAAATGAACTGAAACCTTTAAATTGGCAGCTGAAGAAAGTGATGCTTTAACTAAGAACAGCCTGTCAGTGATTTTCGTTTATACTCAGCATGTGTATTCTCAGTAAAGTGTACGTGCTCCGGTCTGAGAGGTGCTTCATCACGAGTGACAACTGAATTAAGTGGATGGAGTAGAATTCAGCAGGGGCAGCAACAAGATCTATGACAAGTTTTTTTCTATCATTCAGTTTTCTAAATAGATAGATTTTCTCGTTGCGGCCTTTGATAAAGAAGTTGCAACATCATCTTCTGGCAGGCATGTTTGAGGACAAACCATCTCGCTAGTCCCTATTGATGACAGTACTTCAGAAATACCTTCTCTTTGAATTTCACGGAGTCGGAAAGGTGGTTCATTTAGTGCTGCCATTTGTGGGCAAATGTCGAAGTCGGTGATCGCTCTTGCAATCAGAAACGATCAATTACTCTAAAGTTCTAAGAAGTAGAACCTATTGTGCCTTGTGTGGACCAAGGTCACAAAACCAAATTAGTCACACCGAGTGATAGACTGTGTTGATTCCAGAAAACTATGTAGGGATTTTTTGACATTCGAATAAAACCGCACTTGCCCTACGGTTTGGGGCCCATATGCTCAAGTAATTATTGCAGCATTTAATCAGCAGTTCTGTAGATAGTCTGTGACAACACAAAACTGATGGCTATCACTAGGGAAGAGGTATTTATTGACTTGAACGCGAGTCTAACTGCCACACTCTTCTCGTATTTCAGAAATGATAACGAATTTAGAATGTTGAATGGGGGGTGATGAATCTTTGGAGTCTCTGAGAAATGAGGGGAAAAGTACGACCATAGAGTAGTTACAGTGGCGTGTAAATCTCGCATTTCTGTGTGGAAAAACGAATGATGCCTCTAATAACAGGTCACAGGAAGTATATGTGAGCAACTGGTCTGTGTATTAGAATACTTAATGGATGCTTACTGGCTACTTACACAGGATGTAAGTGCAAGACGTATTCACGTGTGTTTGGATTAATGTTTCAGAAATACACCTGGCATATGGCTAAGTAATTATTTTACCCGCGTTGGATCCTTCTGCTATCAGTGGGTTAATCGGTGTGAAGTTGATCCATTAGATATATTTAAACATAAACTTTAATTTCCAAATAACTGGAAAAGTTTGCTGTAATTTAGTGGTGTATATAGATCCCAACCCAACGGTGAGCCTATCTGCCAATAAAGCCATGACCTGCAAACTATCATTTCGATCTTTCAAAGCTCACAATGGGTTAACACGCCAAAATGGCCAGAGAAATATTTGGAAAGCTGGCAGAAAACAACAACGTGGACACCAGACTCAATGTGAGATAAGTGGGGGAGAAAGCGTGGGTCTCAGAGAAGTATAGATGGAATCATCAATAGCACAATATGGATTGTCTGGAACAGCAGCCATCTTGGTGAGGAATATTCTGCATCGGATCTGCAAAACCAGATCTAAACAAAAACAGGGTTAAATCTTGATGAAGAGTGTTCACGCGAGTGGTAT